ATAGTCTAAAATGCTGAAGGTAAAGAGGATAGAGGGAGAAATCGGGTCTGCGAATGCCATGCAGCTACCTCGATGACTCCGGTGAGATCTGAATAGCAGCAATAGCTCAAACTACGCCCCGGAATACCTGTATCTGCACACATGGTGCAGGGAGTAAAGTGAGTACTCCGACTCAGTGAGTAATAGCAATAAATAATGACTGACGGAAAGAAATCTCGTAAAAAGCACTAAGCAGTTCTATATCAAAGCAGTAAGAGCATTTAAACAGCAACTGAATGAAGAAATCAGGTAAAATCCTATAAGTCAGTACTCAACTCATTTATTCCCCACGACAACCGAAATCATAATTATATCGCTGCGGCGTGCAGCCCGATCCATATAGTATACTACTGCGGCGTGCAGCCCGATCCATATATGTATATACTACTGCGGCGTGCAGCCCGATCCAATAATAATAGTCGACTGCGCTCACTGGGGGTGTCCAGACTCCGGAGGGGCTCCTACAGCCCAAGCGTTATACTACTACGGCGTGCAGTCCGATCCATATGAATGTACTGCTGCGGCGCGCAGCCCGGTCCAATAATATACTGCTGCGGCGTACAGCCCGATCCATATATATATATATATATATATATATATATATATATATATATATATATATATATATATATACTGTTGCGACGTGCAGCCCGATCCATAACATATCAAATACCCTCACTATGGGTTTCTCGACCCCTCTCAGTCACTATAAACTTTGCCTCTCGGGCATACTAAGATGAGATAGGGATCCCAGCCCACATATTACTCTCATTTTTGGCTTAGCTATTTTGAAGCCAGTTCGTATTTTATTAAACAGTTAGAAACATGACTGAGGGTATATTTTTAACAAGTAAAGTGAGGTTAATCAGTACAAATGCCCCTAAGGGTTCTACAGGTCGGCACAATGCCCCAAACATGGCAACTAGCCCAAACTATAATTATATTAATTAAGTCTCAGTCAAAATACAATAGAATCATCAATCGGGATGGACCAAGTCCAAATCCCCAGCAGTAATGGACCCCACGCTCATCATGCAGCGTGTGTCTCACCTCAACATAGCACTACGTTGTGCAAATCCGGGGTTTCAAACCCTCAGGACATCATTTATAACCATTACTCACCTCAAGTTGGCCAAAGTCCTAGCTCGTTATGCCCTTGCCTCGCAAATCAACCTCCTCGCGCGTCGAATCTGGCCAAAACCAGAACGAATATGTTACAATAGGCTAAGGGAATATAACCCAATCAAAAAGACTCGAAAAACATCGAAATTCACGAAGTTGGCAAAACCCGAGCCCCGGGCCCACTTCTCGAAAAATCAGAAAATTAACATCACCGGATTCCTTATCTCGCCACGAGTCCACACATATCAAATTTACCAAAATCGGAGTCCATTTGACCCCTCAAATTCCATTTTGAAATATCAAATTCCCAAGCCCTAGCTTTACCCTCTTTTGATGAATTTCCATGTAAATTCTACCATTAATTCATGTATTTAGGCCAAGGAATTCACCTCCAATCACACCTAGTCGAAATCCCCTTCAAATTCCATCCAAGAACTCTCAAGGTTGATCAAAAATGGTGGAAATGGACTTAAGCTCGCGGAACAAAATGAGCCTTAAAACCCTTCTGTGAACAGTGATTTTCGCATCTGCGGTCCCTTTACCGCATTTGCGGCCACCGCTTCTGCGGTTATACTCCCGCTTCTGAGGATCTTCATTTAAGTCCACGGCCGCTTCTGCGGTCCACTCTCCGCATTTGCGGATTCCGCTTCTGCGAATACCTGTCCGCTCCTGCGAAAATTCCAAGGCCACGCCACTTCGCTTCTGCGACTAATCTACCGTATCTGCGGTCTCGCAGATGCGGCTCCCATTCTGCATCGGCGCTATCTTCCATTCAAGCAAAGCGACCGCACCTGCGACCCTCCTTTCGCACCTGCGCAACCGCATCTGCGTCTCCCTTTCCGCAGATGCGGAAATACCAGAAACCAGACATACCAGCAGTCTCATAAGTCCAAAATTCATCCCGATAGCCATCCGAAATCACCTCGAGGCCCCCCGGGACCTCAACCAAAAGCGCAAACATGAACCAAAGCCTTATTCAAACTTGCTCGAATCATCAAAACACCACAAATAACACCTAACCCATCAGATTACATCAAATTCAAGCCTAAGTTCCTCCAAATCTTTCGAAACTCGCATTCGATCAAAAATCCAACCAAAACACCTCTGAATGATCTAAAATTTTGCACACATATCCAAAATCGCCTAACGAAGCTACAGCAACTCTCGGAATTCTATTCCGACCCTCGGATCAAAATCTCACCCATCAACAGGAATTCGCCAAAATACTAACTTCGCCAATTCAAGCCTAATTCTACACCTGACCTCCAAAATCAATTCCGATCACACTCCTAAGTCACAAATCATCCCCCGAAGCTAACCAAATCACCGAAAATCACATCCGAGCCCTCTAACTCACAAGTCAACATCCGGTTGACTTTTCCAATACAAACCTTCCTTAAAGAGACTATGTGTCTCATTTCCATCCAAAACCAATCCAAATCGACTCGCTCACTCAAAACTCTTATAATAAAACATGAGGAAGCAGAAAAATAGGGAAATGGGGCGGTAACTCACGTGACGACGGGCCGGGTCGTCACAACGTTAGAGTGCATGTGATAACGTATGCCAACTGCCATGGGGAGGGGACGGCCGGAGAGGACTGTAACTACGAGTCAAGGAACTGATTACGCAGGAATGAGCACTCCAATTTTGAGGAATGAGAGCAACGTGGTTAGAGATCAAGGGGAAGCTTCAATGGAACAGTGGCCGCCATTGTCAACCACAAAGGAAGGTATGAAAGCTCTACTGGATAAGGGAAATCATAGTGGTAAAGCAGTTGTTGATGGTCCGATGATACATGCAAGCCCTAATGTAAGCAAAAAATTGACAATTGGTAAGAGTTCTGTACCAATTACTAGCGAACTGGGGGGAAAGGGGCTATAGCAGAGATAACTCAACCTCAAGTGAATTTGCATCCTGTGGAGGCTGATAAAGGTCAAAAATAGTGGGCAAATCTATTCGTGGGACCGAATTTTACCGCACAAGGTATGGATCTGAGTTTTATTGCACCAACTATTAAAAATGGTGAGGTGATTGTGGAACTCTTCAAGGAAGAAATTGAGAAGGAGACTCAGAAATGGAAGCAAGCGTTAATATTGTATGTTGTTGGAGGAAGTCCTACAATAGGAGCCATGGAGAGGTACATTGCTTCAGTATGGAACTTTGTAGCAAAGCCTAAGGTGTATTTTCACAATGATGGATATTTTGTGGTCTGTTTCAATACTATTGAAGATAAGGATGAAGTACTGTATTCAGGACCTCACATGTTGAATAACAAGCCTATCATTGTCAAAATGTGGTCTGCTGATTTTGATTTCAATAAATAGGTGCTTCAAACTATACCAGTGTGGGTCAAGTATCCAAATTTGCCTTTGAATTGCTGGGGAAATAAGTCGCTAAGTAGGATCAGTAGTGTTTTGGGAATTCCACTGTATGCTGATGCTTGTACTACTCAAGTTGATAGGATCTCCTATGCAAGAGTGTTGGTGAAAATGGATGTTACTAAAGAGCTGCCTAGGTCCATCAAGGTGACTGATCCAAATGGGAGGGAGTTTGTTCAGGAAATAGCATATGATTGGGTCCCTAAGTTCTATACTACATGTATGCAAGTTGGCCACAAATGCAGAGTAGATGAACAACTAGGACCAAAAATGAGGCCAAAAAATGCAAAGCAGAAACAGGAATGGCAACCTAAACCTGCTCCCAAAGTGCAGGAAACAGCTACTAAGGAGAAATCAAAGATGATAGAGCCTAGTATTGAAGGAAATGCTAGCACTAGTACATTGGTTACTAGTGCTGGTAAAGGAGCGCTGAAAGGAAATGAGGAACAAGTGTGGCGAACTGTTATAGGAAAGTCAGCAGCTAGAAGCAGAGAGAGACAACCAATTGATGTGGTCAATGTGCTTAATGGTTTTAACCTTCTCACAGAATCTAAACGGCAGCTAGCAATGCCAAGACAAATGGAGGGAAGGACAAGTAGACAGCAGGGGAATGATGGGCAGGAAGGGACTATGCAACCCATTTTCATGCCTGTATGAAGCCAGTAACTTGGAACATAAAGGGTTTAAAGAATGTCCCTAAACAAAAAGAGGTGAATTGGTTCATTCGTAGTAATAAAGTTCATATGATTGCATTACTAGAACATAAAATAAACGAATAGTAGGCTATGAAAGTTATAAGGAAAATTACACCTTGATGGGCATGCTTAGACAACTATGAATATAGTAGTAGAGGACGAACATGGTTGCTATGGGATTCAAATGAAATAGACTGCATAGAGTTGTGTAGAACTTCTCAACTTATACATACTGCAGTCCATGTTAGGAGATTGGATATGAGATTCACTTTTACAGCTGTATATGGACTGCATTGTGTGGAAGATAGAAGAAGCCTGTAGAGTGAGTTGATAAGATTACACTCTATACAACAAGGACCATGGTTGATAATGGGGGATTATAATGCCATTAGACCAGGGGAAGATAGACCAGTTGGCAATCCGGTGCAAGACCTGGAGATTAGAGACTTTAATGAGTTTATTGACAGTACTGGATTGATAGAAATGAAAGCTAGTGGAAGGAGTTTTACATGGACAAATGGAAACACTTATAGCAAGATTGATAGAGCTTTGATTAATGCTAAATGGATGTTGGACATGCCACAACTGGAGGTATGGATTATGGATCCACATTGTTCTGACCATTCCCCACTAAGTATAGCATTGGAGGAGGATGAAGACTATAGCCCTAAACCATTCAAGTTTCTAAATCACTTACCTGAGCATGATGAGTTTATAAAGATAAGTAAGTGAAGCATGGGAGAGGCCACAGGAACAAAACATTATGAGGGATGTCTGGCAGAAACTAAAAAGAGTGAAGCAGGCTATGAAGGTCTTAAACAATAATGAGTATACTGTTGTTGGTGACCAGATCAAGGTATGCAGGCAAAGACTAATTGGTTTACAAGAACAAATGAAGGTTCCTGGTCAATATGACGCCCTAATAGCTGATGAAAAAGAACTGAAAGTACAGTTGGAGAACCGGTTAGGGGTGGAGGAAAGTATTATGAGGTGGAAGTCAAGAGTAAAATTATTAAAGCTAGGTGATGCCAACACATCATATTTCTTTGCAAGTATGAAAAACAGATGCATCCAGAACAAAATCAGAAGACTAGTAAAGTGTAATGGGGATACAGTGCAAACAAGGCAGGGAATTGAGGAGCAAGTGATAGAGTTCTACCAACAACTATTATGTTCCTCGGCAAATGAGTTGCTTGCTATTAATCCAGCTGTCATGAGAGATGGTCCTATGGTGAACAGAGTGCAACAAATGCAACTGAAAATAGAGGTATCAAAGGAGGAGATATATCATGCTCTAAAAGGTATAAGTGATAACGAAGCCCCTGGATGCGATGGCTTCAATGCTCTATTCTTCAAAAAAGCTTGGCCTGCAATAGGAGACACAATTACAGATGTAGTAATGGAGTTCTTCTCAAGTTCAATGACGAGGCCAATGTGTATTGGAATTTTCTGCTCGTACTCTGTCAAATTCTAATATAGTTTAAGATATCGTCCCACAGAGACTGGATAGTCTATGCTACAGATTTGTAATATTTTAATTACTATTTGAGAGAATCAAATTGATGAAAAGTGAGTGAGGTTTAAAACTTGAAAATTACTTAAGCAAAACAAATATTTTTGGAAGATTTATAATTTAAAAAGGAGTTGAGAATCATTGAATTCACTTGATAATATTACCTATAATAAAATCTCAATTTCTACATTTATTTCTCTAAAGAATAATTGCTTATTTCTAATACAATTATATTTGGCTCGCTAAGAAATAACCAATTAATAACACTCTGTGAGAATTATGTTAATTAATCAATTTAAGACTAGAGACGTTTAAACCGAAATATTTTTCTTGCTTGAATTGTGCTAAAAGAAAGTAAAAACTTCGTGAGAATATTTTTACTAAGGATCAATAATCTTGCCTACAACAACTCCTCCTTGAGAATTAAAACTGAGCAAGCAAGATTACTGACTTGAAATAATAGACTGAAAAATTACTTTCACACTACTATTTTATTCATCTGCTATTATATATTAATTTTGCTCTGCGTGAATTACAAAATTAATATATGAATTATGTAGAGATAAAATATGTAGATGTGATGATAGAGTAATTAAAAACCATCATTTCAACACAGTATGAAATGTAAATAAAAAGTTTTAAGCCAAGAATATATAAAAACTAAGATAGTATTATAAAATATATCAAGCTTCATCAACTATCCCAACAAAAAGAAATTACTCCATTATGGAGTAAGTAAAGCTAAAAAAGATATTTAGAAGACTAAAAATATTTAAAAGACTAAGGAAATATTTTTACTACAAAGAAAGAAGACCAAGACTAGTTCTTGTCTTACAAAGATTGAACCTCTTATACAAAGATAGCTTGCTATTTATACAAAAAGATGAGTAGCTTTTGTCATGTTCCACTTTTGCAAATGTGAAATCCATGTATGTGAAATGACCTTTGTGTATGTAGATTCCATATATGCAACTAAGGCACTTGTGCTTCACTCTTGACTTCATGAGTTAGTCTTGCACATGTAGGTTCCATGTATGCAAATGTGACCTTTGCATATATAGATTCCACACATGCATAAATGACTCTTTTGCTTCCATTCTTGACTTCATGGGTTAGATTTGCAAATGTAGGTTCCATATATGCAAATGTGACCTTTGTGTATATAGATTCCACATATGCATCTATAGCTATTTTGCTTCCATTCAAGACTTCATGGGTTAGATTTGCAAATGTAGATTCCATGTATGCGAATGTGACCTTTGCAAGTATAGATTCCACACATGCATATATGACTCTTTTGCTTCCATTCATGACTTCACGGGTTAGACTTGCAAATGTGGGTTTCATGTGTGCGAATGTGACTTTGCGTATATAGATTCCACATATACAAATATGCCCCTTTTCATCTCTAATTGCCTCTTTCCATAAGCCCATATGTATATTCCACATTTGCGAATATGAACATGATGCGTGCAACTGTGGCTTTGCTTCATTCTCTTGTTTTTTAGCTTCTTTCCTTCTTTCTCATAATTTTTTTTCCTACAAGAAATGTTAGAAAATATGCGAGGATAGGATATTATTATTCTTATTTTATTTTAAAAACTTATTTTTTACATATGAAATTACATGAATAATTTATATCATCAAATACCCCCCATACTTGAACTTTTGCTCGTCCTCGAGGAAAAAGAATACTTTTAAAATATATCATCCAAAATCCATGACTATTGTAGAATAGAAAATTTATACAAAATAAATATCCTCTAATATGGTCAATAGAATTATCCTTTTTAAATTCACCAAATTTTTTACCTTATTTCTGAATTCTGCTTTGAAAAATAAGAACTTGCAATCTTCTTCCCTTGAGTCTTTCAGAACTCATAGATTTATGATCACTTATTCAGTTAATATCATACTCTTGTCCATAGGCTTGCTCCTTATGTTTTTCTCCACTAATATAGGTTCAACACTAATTTTTAGAATCTTTCTAGGACTTTTCTTGGCTTGTAATGTTAGGCTTCAGGCTGGTAAGATAAAGATATTTTTAGAGTGACTTCTTTTCCTCAGCTTGGAGCAAACATTTCTTGGTGCTCGACATTTCCTCCCTTTGATAACACTTTTTTTTTGGTTTTGTCTTTTTTTTTTGTAATCTCAAATATCTTTTATCCACATAATTTTTTTTCTTCTTCCATCCTTTTTAAAAAAAAATATATATACACCAATCTCTGCTCATTTTTAGCTGGAAGATCTCATGACTATATATGTATATATATAATTACTCCTTTTTTTTTCTTTTTCTTCTTTATAAGAGATCAAGGTGTTGTAAAAAATGGGATAAAGGCTCAAAGAAGGGTTCTAATGGAATATTTATATGTACTTGGTTAGAAAATAAGAAGGCTAGAAAATGGTAAATCAAAGAAAGCCTATTTTATTTTACAAAAATCAGTGTCACCTATTATTTCGCCTTGAGAAACATTTAGAGCAAGTTCTAGCCAAGTTTCTACCTATTTTGCAATCATAATTTTTCTCAATTTCAATGATTTCCAGAGATAAAGATGCTTGCTCCTGCTTTCACAAAATCAAAATCATAGATATGAAATTTACATGGTAAGATGAAAAGAAGTAATCATTGGACATATAGTAAAGAATTTATTTTATTAATTAAAAACCTACAAATAGGATAGAGGAGAGAAAAATAATTATATATAAAGATATAAAGAAAATAGAACTTTATATAAACATATATATATCCATTAATTAGATACATATATAACATAAACTAGAAATGCATCAGAATATACCCCCTCCACACAAGAACGGTTTCATCCTCCTGGATAAAACACGTAATGAGAGATATACATATATAAGTATTAATTTAAGGAAAAGAAAAAATTAATACTAATGTATATAAAATAAAATAAAAATCTTTTTGGCTTTCAAATTTACAATCATAGAAGAAAGCTTGAAAGAAACTGTGACTATACATGTTCTATGTGTAATAGACTGACTAATTTAAGACCTTATCAGTCATTTGGTCCTGGTTTAAATATAAACCAAAAATTACCTGAGTCAACATTCGAATTGAATCATTAAATGGTTAACCAACCAGTTACTTAGGCATACCGATCACCATGGAGTTGCTCCTGTGTAGGTGACTCTATTTTTGTAGAGGCCTTCATGAGATGCTTTGGTTGTACAGTAACCTGGATATTGACCATATTAATTGGTTAAGCATTTAATTATCAAACCTATGTTGGACTTATAAGGCTCCATTGCTTCACCCTCAATGGCTAAAGGTATGTCACTATAGTTCTGAGTTTAACGTCGTCAGCTCGACTTATTACCTGTGGAATTCACCAGTCTATCAAAGTGACCGATTAATGTTGCTCAAAATATCCTCCAAAGTACAATTTTAGTGTTTGACCATTTACCTTGAACTTGTCACCTCCATTGTTCTGTTGGAATTCAATTGCTCCATATGGAGTAACGTTTGTTACATTATAAGGACTTGTCCACCTTGATTTTAATTTCCTGGGAATAGCCTGAGTCGACTATTGTAAAGAAGCACTTGATCTCCAATTTTAAAACTTTTTATTCGGATCAAATTGTCATGCCATTTTTTTGTTTTTTGTTTTAAAAAGTTTTGCATTTTCATAGGCTTCCAACCTCATTTCTTCCAACTCATTAACGTGAAAAAATCTATTTTTACCAGCAGAGGCTAATTCAAAGTTTAGTGCTTTTAGTGCCCAAAAAGCTTTGTGTTCTAATTCAACTGGCAAATGACAAGCTTCCCCAAAGACTAATCTATATGGGGATGTTCCAATTGGCATTTTGAACGTCGTTCGGTATGCCCATAATGCATCATCTAACTTTAAAGCCCAGTCTTTTCTTGAGATTCCAACCGTTTTTTCAAGAATTCTTTTTAACTCATGGTTGGAAACTTCAACTTGCCCTTGAGTTTGAGCATGATATGGTGTTCCTATTTTATGAGTCACACCATATTTTATCAGCAAAGCAGAAAATTGTCTATTCATAAAATGAGTCCCTTGGTCACTAATGATGACTCGTGGTGTGCCAATCTGGTAAAAATATTTTTTTGGAGAAAATTGCACACAGTTCGAGCATCATTTTTCCTTGTGGGGATAACTTCAACCCATCTTGACACATAATCCACAGCCACAAGGATATATTCAAAAGAATGAGAGGAAGGAAAAGGACCCATGAAATCTATTCCTCAAACATCAAATATTTCACATACCTATATTGATTGCAATGGCATCTCATCTCTCTTAGTGATGTTACCTGTTCTCTGACACCTGTCACATTGTGCAACATATGCTCGGGCATTTTTAAAGAGAGTCGGCCAAAAAATTCAGCTTCCAACACTTCAAGGGTTGTTTGATTTGCTGCATAATGACCTCCAATTGCTCCATCATGACAGTAATATAAAATTTTATTCATCTCTTCTTGAGGCACACATCTTCTAATGATATTATCTGCATAATTTTTAAACAAGTAAGGTTTATTCCACAAATAATACTTTGCATCAGATATAAGCTTTTTTCTTTGCTGGTAAGAGAGACCTTGGGGTGTGTCCACTTTCCAACCAAGTAGTTTACAATATTTGCAAACCAGGGTGGTTGAGTCACAATTGAGTTAATTGAGAAAATATGTTCATCAGGAAATTCTTCCTTTATTTTGCTAACCTCAAGGGGGGAGGGGGATTTTCTAATCTAGACAAATGGTCAGCTACTTGATTCTCTGTTCCTTTTTTGTATTTTATCTCAAGGTCAAATTCTTGTAGAAGTAAAATCCATCTTAACAATCTAGGTTGAGCATCTTTCTTTGCTAAGAGGTATTTTAAAGATGCATGATCAGTAAAAATAGTGACCTTGGTTCCTATAAAATAAGATCGAAACTTATCAAAAGCAAATACTACTGCTAGTAACTCTTTTTCTGTT